TCTGTCTTTCTATCATCTATCTATCTATGTATCTCATACAGCAGTAAAAATTGAATTACAAATGTATTCAGACAGGAGAGAACATCCATTCTAAGGATCAGTGAAGTGAAATAGCACACTTAGAAATGTGTACATCTCATATTAGAGTAATTTTCTACAAAATCATTTCTGGATCCATATTTTTCTCCTACACGACCCGCATGCCTTCAGAGCCTGGTATGGTGTCTCTGTTTGCGTGGTGTATTTTCTTGGCTCTGTCACAATGCTGGATGAGTCAGTGCAGTGGAGGGCAAGTCCTATAAGGGACATGGCCAGCCACACATTGCAAATCCCAGAAATATATCCTATTAAACCAAAAGTAAGACTCCCCAACTCAACCTGTCTTCACTGAGACCCAAAAGTGACCATGCCTAGTCCAAAATTAGCCAGAATGAGAGAATAGGTGACAAATGGTAAAAATAAACCATTAAGAGGCACTAGTCTTTAGCAATTGCATTTAAAGTTCAACTTTGGCAAACTTTGCAAAAACAGATGACTGTTATGAACAAATGTGCAGGACCATTCTTGGATCTTTGAAAAAAAAACATGCAAGTGAAAGGCCAAAAGTTTGAATTTTATTAGCTTCAGTGAACATTCACCATTACATACCTGCTGTGCAGCAAGGTCAGAATTTTGCTAATTACTGTTTGAAATCCCGAATGAAGACACCAACAGGAAAAAAAAACCTTAAGAATTTTCATATGTATTCTTGAGTAGTACACAACAAACTTAGCAAAAGGGTCAAAACATAAATTGTTCTCATTGACAATGGAGAACAGATCTAATTAGAAATCCTAAAATTGAACCTGTGTGGAAACTATATTTTTTTCAAAAAATATTTTTTATTCTCGTTAGTATTACAGATATCTGCCATTTCCCCCACCCTCCCTTGGCATTATAGATATCAGGCATTTCCTTCCTCCCTTCCTCCAACGCAGCCCGGAGAAATGGATAAACACTCTTTAGTTAATCTGAATTTTCTCTTACTTGACAGCTCTTTAACTTAAAACCACTACGACTTTTTCACTTCTTTCTTTTAAACAAGACAAGAAGGCCTTGCCAAAACAAAGCCACCAAAAATTTTCAGCTGCCTCCCAAAAAAAATTGGGAGGAAGGGAGAGAGATACAGGTCAGCTTTGTAATTCACCCCTCGGGTAAAAGCAATTCCTATTACACTGTGATGGTGGTTACTTGATACCAAAATTTAGCACTAGAATAAAAACTTTCAGGTTACTCTCTAAATATCAGTCGAATTTTCAGGAAATAAATGGAAGAAAACTTTTAAATTTGTCTTTTTAACCTCGGATTGTCAGCCTCATTTACATAATATGCAAATTTTACCTTGGATTTTACTATAGGATATCCCAAAATTCACGCAAGATTTGAATTGCAAATCTTGCGTGAATTTTGGGACACCCTATAGAATAAGCTGCCCACAAAAAACCTTGTCTGGGAAATAATTCTTTTTAAAAAAGTTTTGTTTTTTTATTAAATCGCTGATAGTATTACAGATACCTCCCTGCTCTACCCCGCTTCTTCCCCTAACGAGGTCTTATGCACTCTCGTGCCTGTGTTAAAACATTAAACTAGCACTTCTGTTTCCTGTGACTAAAAACATTAAGACAACGTTACTCCAAGAGTTTCCACTTCTCTTTTTTAGACACTAAGAAATAAGCCTTGCCGAAACAAGGCCACCAAAAATTTGGTTGCCTGCCCCCCAAAAAAATTGGGGGAGAGAGAAACCGGAAATTATTATTACATGCATAGTAAAACTGTACAGTTCAGGTATTTTTAGGTATACTTTATTTCTAATGTTTTTATTAAAAAGCACAAATATTTTGGAAACTCAACATTGTTCTAGGAAAAACATATTCATTCACTTCATTAATTAAAACTATCTTTGGATAATCTTTGCATTTATAATATTTTATTACACTGGCTAAGGAAAAGGGACAGAATGACTTTGCCTAGTATTTGAGTGTTTCTACTAAACTATTCTAACTTCTATTCAACTGATGTGTTTTATATTTCCTATGCTTCAGCTAAATTAACTTATTAATTTTGTAATATGTATCCCATGTATTTTCTCTATACCTATGCTCTTTCCTCTTTCTGAGTATATTCAGTCTTCCCTTTTTTGAGTCATTCCTATTCTCAAAAATGAGCTATTTAACAAGCCATCCTCTCCATGCTTGAGATTTATATAACAAAATGTATCTTTTTCAATTTTTAATAAGGAATGTATGCCTTTCATAAAAATTAGTTCATCTCTCCTACCAACTGCAAGCTCATAAAGATAAAAGAGCACATATTTTCACTTTTATATCCTTTATTTTACCTTGCCACACCAAAATAGCTAGATAAAATTATTTGTTTAACAAACAAACATAAACTGTGTATATTAATAAAAATAACATCGTTAAATCTAAGTTGGACCCACTGTGCATTATTTCTGGGCCACCTCTGTTCTGCAACTCCAGGAGTCTTTTCATTAGATATCTCTAGTTTACATACTTAAAAACATGATCTTGCTGTAAGTAAAATGTACATAAGGAACAATATTTTGTGCAATGTGCGCTGACATTTATTTTTCTTTATTTTTAGATTTAGCTTCAATGCGCTTGACCTAGTTTGTTTGATGTTTTGACTCAGTCAAAATAACAAAAAAATCCTTATTTATAGTAATTACATACAGAGTATAAAAGGAATGCCCCTTTGTCTCATAGATCATTAAATACCACAAGGAATGTGAGAGATATACAAAATCCATCTTTAATAGAACAAGGTTAAGGATAGTTGCAAGCAGGCTAGAGAGGACTCCTACAGCTTGACATTGTATAGATATCTGGCAGACAATTATGTAAAGGAGACAACACATGAGGGAAGAAAAATATCCATTCCTTGTTTAGAGAAATAGAACCATGGTTCAAGGGCTGACTGGGGCTTTCTTAGACAGGTTTACCATGAAGGAGGAGGAAGAAAAGTTAGGATGAATGAGAAATCCCTTAGATATGCCATATTTGTAGAAAGCTGTATGTTGGCGAGTAAGTATGGTGAAATAATGAATTATGAATAGTCCTAAATCTAAAGGTCCCTAAAGACAGGGAGTAATACAACTAACACAAATTCACAAATATATCTGTGTCAAATAACTTCACTGATAACTAAAGAAAATTTATCTTATTGTTGCAAACTCCACTTAATAACCTTTTTCATCATAAGATTATATAGTTAAAAAAAGTAGCTTCACTGCATGGCTCAGTGGTTGAGGGTCAACCTATGAACCAGGAGGTCATAGTGTGATTCCTGGTCAGGGCACATGCCCGGATTGTGGGCTCAATCTCCAGTGTGTGGGGTGCAGAAGGCAGCTGATCAATGATTCTTTCTCATCATTGGTGTTTCTATCTATCTCTCCCTCTCCCTGTTATACAGTAAATGCTCTTTATCAGGCAGTTTTTTAAAATCTTCTTTGTGTATTTGTTTTTCAGTTGTTAGTGGCATGGCCAGTCTATGTCATTGTATTATTAAGGTGCCCTCGGACCTTTCAACCCATTGCTCTACTCCTATTGAGCAGTTTGTTGAAAGTAATGATTGGAAATGCTTAGCACTCTTTAATAGATGTT